GAGACCATCCAACACTTGTTTAATAAGACTCCAGTATGCAAACTCTTCCCTGTGCTTTCGTTCTGAAACATAGATTGGCTATAGTCGATCTTCTCGGCCCATGCTGTACTCTATTAAGTCTAGTTTGTGCAGCAGGTGTGGATCAATATCCTTCTTTATCTGATCAATAGAGCAGAGCTTAAAGGTAGGACATAAATGAATGCAGGGGAGGCTGCTCAAACACGGCTGACCCAACAGGAGGCGTCCAACTATGAGACTGACTGATGGACTCTAAAAAGTAGCATCTGGAATTCTGGAACTTCCAAGTAATTAATATTTGTATTACAATAATAGAATAAGTTTCTTTAAAAATAAATAAAAATACCTGATAGTAAAGCAAGGTTTATGATAAAGTAGTAATTAGCTTCTCCACTGTTAATACTCAGAGCATGTACTACAGAAAGCCAGTGAACCCATAAAAATGGCACATTTCATCCAATCAAACTAGCAGGGCGAAATCCAGCAACTGCGCTGCCTTTTCAAGCGGCTCCTAGAATGTGGCATAAATCAAGGCAAATTAAGTGAAATACGAATGAATTAAGAGGGACATTTTAATTTACAATCACACAGCCCTGTACAGACATAAAAGGACAGAATGGGCACTGGGATTAAAATTCAGAGTTTATGCTCACAATAAAGAGCTATATCTGTTAACTTGGAGAACTTTGGAAAAGATTCAAAATATCCTTGAGTATTTAGTATTGCCCTCTAGATTATTAAATTTTCATTTTCAGAACCATAATTTATCCTTTTTTTCTTTTAAAAAATCCACATCATTATTTGACAATCTTGAGGCAATACAAATATTAATGAAAAGGCAAATGTGATTTTTTTTTGTACATTTTTATATGCCAAACAATCCTTTACATAAACTGAGAATTTGATTTTTTTTTTTTTGTGGTCACACAACAAACCATGGAATAAAAAAAAATTAATTAATTAAAAAAAAGGATGAGTCAATCTCAATGATCAAAAAGAGCATTTCCATTTTTATTTTAACGAGACGTCGGTGAATGTGATTGTCAAGTATTTGAAGTGACTTACATGCAAGTGATGAGCTGCACAGATCATACATTCAAGAAAAAATATATGACATTTGAGAGTGAGAAAGAGAGATATATAGTTATTAATGTGAAAGTAGGAAGATTCCTGGAAAGAAGGCACATTTGTTTCGCTCAAAACAGACATGGACATATTACATGAGCATTTGGTAACATAATAACATTTCACCCATGTGAAATGACTTGCTTTTGTGCTTCAGGGAGACATGAATGCTAATACCTATACTTCAGTTCTTACAGTTTGTTTGTGGAGCACATCAGAGAAAGAACTGAATAAGGAGACGTCCATTCTGTCCACAAACAAGATCCTACAGACATATTTCCCTTTAAATCAACAGCAGTTTGAACCCAAACCTACAGAAGAAACAGTGTAAACTCAAGCGCAGGTTCAGATACGGTTCTCTTAGATCAGGAGACAGCGCTCTCACAGAGAGCAGCGATCACTTTACAGTATCAAACCCATCACAGATCAAGCCAATCAACCGCTGGCAAACAACACAGGAAAAAAAGAGAAATGTGTCAAACTAATACGTCTGGGACAGATTCATGTTGCCATTCAAAACCTGAGGAGGACATGAGGTGGCAAAAACACACAAATAGAAAATCACTAGAGACATTATAGGAATAGTTCAACTAAAATTTAACTGTCATCGTTTACTCACACTCCAATGTTATTTTGGACCCCACTGACTTTAATTTCACTCTTTGTAGCCATATAATGAAAGTCAATGGGGTCCAAAATAACACTGGACCCCACTGACTTTCATTCCAAAAAGAGTTGAAACATTCTTCAAAATGTGTTTCAGAGAAGAAAGTCCAAACTATTTGGAATGACAAGAGGGTGAATAAATGGCGAGTTTGTGTAAATGATCCCTTTCAGGAGCAAATGTGAACCAAAAATGTGCAAATGAAAGGCAGGGTGGGAATCAGCTGCCGTACATTTGGTTTGAATTAAAGCCAAACTCAAGACAACTTCGTCAGAACTAAAGTGACATTAACATTAATAACCGTGTGAATGTGTTCTCTCAGGCACGGTGAGATGCTCCATATTGATCATGATTGATATCAGTCTCTGTAGATCATGAGGCAGACGTGTCCATTTAATATCTGGTTTGTCTTCCCTTCCTGCTTCCCTAGGGGCCCGTTTGAGAAGCCGAGAGCTTCAGCTAAGACCATACATGGAGAACAAATGGAAGCTTTCAATGCCTCTATCAATCTGCTGATGAACTGAGATTGAACTCCAGGTCTGGGCACATTATTCAGACAAGCGTTGTGCTGGTGTCACCATCCGTCAGCAAAGGAGACGCAGCGAGGTGCCAGCTGCAGGTTAGGAACAGCAGAAATGCCAGCAGTGAAACGCTAACAATCTTGGAAAACGAAAACATGGAGCGTTTATTGTCAGTCTGTTTGTCTGACTTGATGAATATTATGAATATTTTTGGTGTAGGCTCAATTTTTCAGTCCAAAAGAACAAAGACACACCAGCTTGTTGTTTCTTCTGAAGATCAACGAAATCAGAGGGTGACACAAAATCTGTCAAGAACATGTAAAGGCCACATTTCACCCCAATATCAAAAAGATTTTAAATAAGGAATTAAATTTAGTTTAAACACTTAAGAACGTTGCAATTTAAAAAGACAATTAAACCAAAACTTCCCCCAAGTTCTGATTATTAAAATGCAAAAAAAAACAAACTGTATAAATACATAATATAATATATAATAAAAAATTGAGAACAATTTATAATATATGGGAATATTATTTACATTTTATATATTTAAATTTTGAAGTATTTATACATCAATGTAGTATTTCTTTTGCATTTAATTTATGAAGATAATTAAATGTTTTAAATCCCTATCACTGTATTATAGTATTTTAGTAGTTTTTTACTACAGAGTATTTTTTTCCCTCTATTACAAAAATGAAAATCATTATTCAGAACAGAATTTGGGGTAAATGTGCTAAATTGTTTTGTAAATAACATCACATATGCAAAGACATTTTAATTAATATGCATATGATTATTTGATTTTTTTATTTTTGCTTTTGAAGTGAAACGTGATCCAGTCATGTTTTAATGCGATTCACCTGACTGAAGAGGAAAATCAAACATAACTCAAGAACAAACAAATGAAGTGACGTTTTGAATGTGCACATCATATGTTACCCGTGCTGGCAAAATGAGACGGAATGTGCACAGGCTAATTACAAGCTACAGGCAAAACAAGTGAAAAATGTCAATTCTGTCAGAACCACTATCGTCAAAGATGATTGACAATTAGCATACAGTTTGGATTGGCGGTATGGTTCTGTTCTGGGCAAGAACTCCCTGCGCATCCATGCAGCCTAGCATGGATGAGAGCAGGGAGAGCAGCGATAACCCCCCCAGGCTAAACAGAACATAACCAACATAAATGTATTGCAGATATCGTTAAAGTTCAATATTGTTATGTACACATTTTAGAATGAAGACTGAATCCTGACTGACAGAGGAGGAGCTGGGGATGGAGGAGGGTAATTAGCTATTGAGCAATGTGAAAACTGCTGATAATGCTGAGGTACCTTATATATGAATGCTTAGATAGGTGTCGTATTCCCATAGGTTGATGGGGATCAGCTGAGAGTCAGCTGATGCGAGCTTGACTAACGTGACCTGCCAGAACTAACGCTACGCTTGATTTTTGGTCAAATTTGAGGTTTTCACAAAAATAAGTTAATTAAGCCCTCGTCTAACGATCCCAATGCTCCAAATAGTAATTAAACATCTAAATTGATCTTTATTTGTACATTTTCTGAGAGGTCTACCTTCGTTGTTTTAAAAAGTTCCGTTTGTCTATCGGAAGCAAAGCACTTGCGTCTGACTAACCAAAAGGCAAGCACTTTGGTTTCCGTTTTGAAAGTAACATGCAGGAACGAGAATATAAAGTGTGGGACTTGATGAATGTTAAAAGAGTTATTAAGAGTGATAAGCCACGAAAAGGGCTTAATATATAGGCCGCGTCTGTCTCATTAATGTTAATCAAACAATTCAAGAAAAGAGGGAATCACTCCCTGCTCTTGATTGAACTACTTTATTTGTAATGAATACACTAAATACTATGCAGTGCTTTTTACATTTGATTGTTTTTCTTACTTGATTGATTCTAAAGTTTATTTGCATCTTTGTTTTTATTTTTAATAACAAAGATAAAATAAAAATAACTATAATATGATTCATATAGTAATTATTATTAATAAAAGAATTTGAGGAAAGGATGCATCGAGAATCATTTTATCGAAACGAATCGTGAGGCAAGTGAAGATTCACACCTCTAGTCGCAACAACGTCTTCTGTGATTGGTCAAAACACCCCGCACAGTGCATTGTGGTAGCATGAACAAAAGCTGAACATATATTTTCCTATAGATTGGTTTGTGCCAAATTTGGTGATATTACCAGAGATTTTCAATCTATGGTTGCTAGGTGATTTTGTTTTGGAACCTTCAGAAAACTTTAACTAGATTTTTCTCAACATTGACTTTGCTATCGACTTCAAACGGGTGCAGCTCAGACATTTTTTGTCCGATTCCAACAAATCATCATTTTGAAGATTTTTTTTAAATAGAGAATGTGAACTCATTTTTGAAAAGTTGCTCATTGTGACTCATTTTGCCAGCATGGGTCACATATATGGATTTTAAATGCTTTTGTTGTATCCTGCCTAACAGAATGTTCACAATAGGATTGTAGATTTGTGAAAGAAAAGTCTCACATTAGTCCTACTGAAGTAATGCCAAAACTTCTTCTTGTCCCTTTTAGACACTGAATTAAATTAGACTGAATTCAACTTCAGCTAATGCCATTCTTTTAACATATAACCTAACAAACACCCCTGAAAAATTAAAACAAAAACACAGCTTGACAAAACAAATCTGCTTTTATACTCAGTTCTTAGCATCGGTAAGGACAATATTGGCAGTCACAAACATTAGACAGAACGTTGCCCACAATATCACAAACCAAACCCAGAACGTGTGATGGAAAGGCGACCGGTGCTTATTTACAGCATCCCTTCCCAACACGGGCTCTAGATGACGACGACTAAAATATACTAGGAAGGCTGGGATGATATACTGAATGCCCGTTCCAGCATACGCCCCAGTGATACCCACAAGCGACTCCAGATCGTGAGTACAGAAGGCCACGATAATGGGCGGCACTAGGGTAATGAGCGGGAAGACGATACGGTCCACCACCCAAGGGTACGTGCCGCCGTCCCGATGGAAGAGAGTTTTCCAGTTGTTGCGTAGCGTGACGGCTATTATGGGAAAGTTGGTGCTAATGGTGAAAACGGGAAAGAGGCCCAGGAAGTAGCGCAACACTGGAATGCTCAGGACGTCGCAGTTATCCGTGAAATTTAAAGTGTACATGTCCCGCAGCAGAGAACTATCGAAGCAGAATATGGCCGTGAGGGACAGCAGGCTGTAGAAGCACAGGATGAGGATGTAGTCGGCCATGACCAGGGCGCTCATGAGCTGCTTGTTGGAGATGGGCGTCACGAGCGAGGGCAGCGAGTGCTGGCACATGAACGAGTAGACACAGACCCCGAAGAGGTTGGGCACACCTGAGATCTGAGCCACAGATGGGTGGCCCTCACTGTGGCCCTTGCCAATACGAATCAAAGCCAGGATGATCATCATGGTGAACGCTGAAAGAGACAGAGGAACTCAATTATATAAAATCATGCAACATCATAAACTGTAATTATATGATGATCAAGTCTATTTTGTTGTATTTATGGCAACACACTATAGTCAAAAACATTGCTTTTTCATGCACTTTTGAGATTTTGGTATATTTGGTTTTCATAACATGCTCTTTCAGAGTTGTGGAAAGAAAACTTGCATCTGTAGATTTCAATTACATGTCTTTAAAGGCTGTTTTCTCTAAATGTTTGTTTTAAGCACTAAGCCAGAAATCTCCATTTCAGTAGCACTTACATACATCAAACACAGTTTTATTCCTATCTACATTCTGAAGGTTTGTACAAATGGGTTTGTTCATGTATCATTTGCTTGATTCGATACAACATTTCATTCCTAAAAACACAGTGAAATGTCTTTTTTTCTGCCTGTTGCCTCTATTTTCTGATTTATGGAGTGATAAAGAGAGATATCAAAAAAGTGTTTTTTATGTGTGCATAGAACAGAACTCTCTTGAACTTGCGATGATTGACACAAGACCTCATTCCCTGAGATTTCTTGCACTGTGGACACAGAAGAGAGACCCAACTCCGATACACGTTTAAATATATCATTAACAACTAGTTGTTCAGTTTGGTTCTGTAAGCATTTCGTAGTTTGTCATTACCTTTCATCGTAGTTTTTCATCAATTAATTCGGATGTAGAATGCAGTTGTCACTCTTGTAAGTAAAAATTACTGTAAAATGTATGCAAATTAGTGCATATTTCATTAGACAATGCTTCATTTGCATATTTAAACAACATTTTAAAAAGACAAAAAAATGAACTGTGAATCGACTGGGGAAGTATGGTGATATCTATTAGATAAACGTTTTGCCCTATTCACCTGCGGTGTCTTGCTTTAATACTGTACATTCATCTCATGCGTTTGAGTCTGCCAAGTGGAGATGATTATTTGTTAACACTGTACGCCTAAAGCCGATTTTTAGGCATATACCCATTTTTGTAGCCTGAATAGCAAAAAATGCATGAAATCTGAGTTTAACTAAATCAATCCAAGTCTCATGAGGATGTGACTTGAAATCCAGTTAAATTGGATTTGACTAAATCCGTTTCAGCATGAACTGTACGAACAGATATCAAGTTTCTCTTCCATCATTTGGGACACAACTGGGAAATCCAAGGTCTCTGTCGTGTATGTTATGTGCTTTATGAGTTGTCTTGATGGACTTGAGCAGAGGACAAATTCCCAGTTCTGGTCTGTCCACACTGACAGCTTGCTGCTCATATACCGTGTCTACATTGGAAGCCACTGACGCAACAACTCGAGTCTGTCAACACTGTGGCATGACGCACAGCTCTGATGCATCCAATGTTCACAAACCACGGGCCAATCAGCTTCTGAGAATAAACCAAAACTTTACCAGTTCATTTAGCCAGAAATCCATGGTGTAAAAAGTTGACTTTGGGTCATTTTAAAATAGTGAAGCTTTAGTTTAATTTTAGTACTAGAACCTACCTGCAAAAACTACCTTAAAAACTGAGCACAGGTGTATGCAAAGAAAAAACTGTTTTATAATAAATATTGATGTGATTTTGCCAATAGAAGGTACAATACCATGGTCCATAAGATTTATTTAATGTTTCTGAAAGAAGTCTCTTATGCTACACTGCATTCGTACACAACATATGCGCCAATGGACATACATTATTAACACTGAACTCTGGGTTAGGTTTGACTAATTGGTTTGCACACAGAAACAGCCACAGGTCAAACTCAAAGTAAAGCCTTATTATTAAGCCTCCTTATTATTAGGTCTCCTAATTCTAACCTATTTATCTTATTTAAGCTTTTCATTATTTCTATAATATTGAATTGATAAAGAGACAAAAAATTAAAAGGCTTGACTTTCTGCATTTGTAATCTGATCAATGTTGCAATCAATGCTGAACAAGATGAGATTGTTAAGGATCTAATGGGCTGCTGGAAAATGCTGAGCTGGTTAAAAAGGACTAATTACGCCTCTAGGTGATGTTCCCTGCATGGACAACCAGGTAGAGGAACACGGGTGGTAAAAACCCAAAATGACAGCTCCATATCCTCCATTTGTTTTCTCAAAACATCTAGAGGAAGATAGCTTAATGCTGCACCTGGAGATCTTTATATATAGATGTCTGTCAGTTATTTAACAGCATGGTAAAGAAATGAAATTAAAGCAAATAAAATATGTACATGGTTGTGTGGTTATACTGTTACACTGGTTAAAGTTCTAATCCACAACAAAAAGGGTAGCTGTTAAACACCATTCTACCCTAGTTTCCGGATAGCTAAAGAGGACCGATAGTGATAACCAGTCCTCATCCTCTTTTCTAATGCATCACACAGCCAGGTCAGGGACTACAGGTGTATCTGAGATGCTAGCCATCGGATTCAAAGGGGAAATGGATTGGTTCAGTCCACGCATGTGAGAGTCCAGCTGACGTGCAATTAATCGGAGGTGCTTCCGACAGCAGTGCTGATCCAAAGGTCTCCATTAGCATTAAAGGTGTCCTCACACATGCTCATTCAGTGCTTAAAAAGATTCATTCTTTCTGGCAGGAGTAAAACATTCTGGCAGCAAACAAGGGGCAGAGTGCATGTCACACTAATCTCAGTCTATTAATCAAGGGCAGGTTGCATGTAAGGGGAATAAATAATTCACTAGTTGCAAAGAACAAACAACGTTGAAGGAAAAGGGTACGTGTCTCAGGAGAGAGATCATGCTGCCAGGACAACTACAAATTACCTCATTTCAAGTACACAAAAAAACAAAATAACCACTACAAATGATTGTAAGGCCTTGCAAGTAACCAAAATATAAAAGTTAAACCAGGTCTCATTTTACACTAAATCTAGAGATGACGCAGAACAACTTGCCAAGTGACCATACCAAAACAGCCTATGCAATCCTATGCAAACTAAATATAATGTAATATAATAATAAATAACTGAATATAATAACTGAATTTTCAGAAATCATACTAATATGCTGATTTGCTGCTTTATATTTTTGTGGAAACCATGATACATGTTTTTTTTCAGGATTTTTAATGAATTAAATGAGTTCAAAAGAGCAGCATTTATTTAAAACAAATCTATAGTGACACTTTACATTTCTTTACAGTCACTTTTGATCAGTTTAATAAAATTTAATAAAAATACCCAATTAAAAGTAAGAATAAAAACAAAAATTATACAAATCTTTCTGACTTCTGACTGTATATATAAAAAATTAAAATAAATAAAAAAAATAACTGATTGAAGAAAAAAAAAATTTATATAATTGAACACTAGAAATTCACATCTGTCATGCTGTAGAAATACTATTCCATGACAGACATGTCAGCTAAGGATGGTAAAATACAGAGCACAAAGGCAAAGGCAAACAACTGCATTAACAGGTAACCTTCATTGTGCATTATGCTTAATATAGCAAAACAGACACGCAAGAGCTCAACTAGAGGACAAACATAGACATACATAATGATGGAACTGCAAATCACTGGGGGAAACGTCAGAGACAGATAATGCAACCGAAGAACCAACCGGAGAGGATACATGCATGGATGGGACGTAGTCAGATTCAAGATGCATTACTCCTTTTCATAAAAATAGCAGAGTACAAAAGAGTTGCACTGAACGAACAGGAGGGTAGAGGAGAAAAAAAGAAAAGAGAATCAAGGGCACACTTAATCCAAATACTCCTGACATCTCCTGACACATGTCAAGTCATTGTATAGACGCTTAACCTTCAGCACAGAGGCCTTGTTTAGGGATGAGATGTGATTGCATACCGCCACATACGGCACAGCGATTCATCACACGCTATAAATTCCCTCAGTGTACATGCTGATGGCCATGGAAAATGCCACTGGTATCTGTGTCTTCAAGTCTTATTCATTATGATATGTTTGCATCTGACACCAGTGCTAGCAGAGCCTGTTCGGAAAACACCACACAGGTGGACAAGGAGGATATAAAAAAGCGGACCAAATAAATTAATGTAGCAAAGTCAAACTTGTCATGGCATTACAATCAAAATGACACTGATTGCTAAAGTTTCCCCAAAGGACGGTGTGTTGGGTTTTGAAGGACACTCTTCATTAACAAATCACCCGTGAGATGTTGAGTTACATGACCAGCTGTGACCATCAAGTGTGAATGGAGAATGTCGAGTGGCGAGCACATTAGGAGGATGTCAAAAACATCCTATCTGTGAAAGTATCATCATCCATAAACTCTGTTATTTAGCTATCCAAAGCAACTTACAGTAATTGTGATTTTGCCAAGTACGACACATTCCTGGATCAACAACCTTGCTTGCTTGTCTTGGAACATTCCTATCAAACGAACAGGCTTCAGGGAGATATTTATTTATATTAGAGATACACTACTGTTAAAAAGCTTGGGGTCAGAAAGATTTCTATTTCAAATAAATGCTGTTCTTTTGAACTTTCCATTCCCACAGACAAAATGCATCATGGTTTACACAACAGTATTGAGCAGCACGTCTGTTTTCAGCATTGATGATAATAATAATTGTTTCTTATGCAGCAAATCAGCATATTAAAATGATTTTTGAAGGATCATGTGACACTGAAGACTGGAGTAATGATGCTGAAAATTCAGCTTTGCCATTACATAACATCACATCACAATAAATTACATTTTAAAATATATTCAAATAGAACAGATTGCGATCATCTGTGTGATATAAGGTCATGATCAAAGGTACAATGGCGATAATCCTTCTGGTTTAAAGGGGTCATATGATGTTGCTAAAAAGCCGTGTACCAGAGCGACGAGACAAAAACATTAAAACTAGGACTGCACATTATATCGTTTCAGTATCGATATCGCGATGTGCGCATCTGCGATAGTCACATCGCAGGATGACGTTTTTAGGCACGACATGTAAACGAACGGCCCCAAAGTCTGTCTACACTGGACGCGACAAAGCGACC